AGTGATAGGGGATCTTTGGCAGGGATCCCCGGAAAACGTATCTTCGCCACAGGAAATTAAAGTTGGACTGTCAGACTTGGAAAAGCAAAAGCGGGGCAAGAAATAACCAACATTTTCGTGTCGCCCCTTTTTTTCTCGGGTCTGCCTCTGCTGATGAACTGCTGTGCTGACACACGACACAACTTAGCACTTGATTCCCTGTATATCACTGAAAACTATTGAATCGATAACAAAGGAAAATACCGAATGATTCACACGCTGCTAGACCTACCAAAAAAATGAATGTTGGCTAAACAAAGATTCCGCTTTTCCATGAAAATGAACTGCTCTCCAATTTCGTAGATAGAATTCCTTACTGGCGCGAGAAAAGAAATCAGCAAAAAAAATTAGTGATATCTTCAGGGCAAGAATTACTGCCCACAGAAATGAGAGTGACGAAATAAGATGAAAAATTTGTGCATGTTTGAATATTTTCAATTGGAATCTTCTCACTTTTTTCCTCTTATAGTTTCCGAAATATTATGTTTTTGAAATAACGGCGTATATCAGTATTTCCATATTTTATTTCTTCAATAACACTGTCTGAGCTTGACTCATAATCATCTTCATACTTTTTTTTCGTTTTCCTCGAAGGCAGACAGGAGTGCAGATTACAAATTCGCAGCTTCAATCAAGTCCCGGTTCAGTGGAAAGGACTACATGAAGAAATTTATAATTCAACAAAAACAACAACAACAACAAAAACGATCGTGAGAAGAAGAAATTGTAAAACGTCGGGGACTTATTGTGGGCAGAAAGAAAATGGCATCGATTGTCGATATGGCGCGAACCCGGAGGCGAGATTTGTGCGGGCCATTTCTGGGTGCGGATCGATGACTTGAGAAGAAATTCCGCGGCTATTATTCGCCGCTCATGTGACAGTGGCACGTTTATTTCTCACTGAGTCCCCCCATGCATACACACACACACACACAGCCTCTTTTTTTCTCCGCTTATTTATTTGTTCGTAGAGTGGCCTAAAAGCTACTCAATCAAGTTCGAAGGTCCATAAATTTCGCAATTCTGTTTCACAGATACAGTATTTCCGAGTACGGAAGTGCTGGGAGCTGATATGCTTTGGTGCCCCAGGGCAAACTTGGTGCAGATATTGTACATTTTAAACTGGCTCACTTTGCCAACTTTTTTACTCTGAGTTCGGAGCATTACTCATATCTTTTCCTCGCATGTTATTATCATCGTCAAATCGAAATTAAAGATAATTGAATTAATAATGGCGAGTTGGACAATTGAAAATCACTGAAAATGCATATGCCATGTTCCTCAAATCTACCGCTCTTGATATTTATTTGAAAACCATAGAAAAATGAATTTCAGCACAGCTAAAAATCAGCCAAACAGCCAATATTCGACTGTGCTCAAGAAATCAAATTTCTCAGATATATAAAGATGGAGTCCTTGCAAACGTTTTTCGAGTCAAACAAAAGCGTGATTTTGAAAATGCTCGGTAATACATCTTCCGACGTTTGCCTAATTTTCAAAAGTCTCGGACGTTTTCCAAAACCCGAGACTGCATTTGACTTCGGAAAAGTCATGTATTTAATCTTTCGAAACTCATTATATACATTATCAACCTGTCCAAAATATATTTTGTCAAACTAACATGGCATCTGACATTTGGCTGGTTTTCAAAATTTTCAGCGAGCCTTCTGCAATCGACAAGTGAAGTAGACATGCTCATCTTTGTTGATTTTCTTGCTCTCTTCACACCGTATAGATAATCTAAAAACTTTTCATTACTCCGAAAATGAAGCATTACTCCAAAAAATTGCTTTAAAAAATTCGTGATCTTATTATTGTTCATCAGTTTTTAAACGTCGAATATAAATTTGTAAATGTGCCTTTATTTCTTACGTACACTCGTGGACTGGGAGATTCTTGAATAGTTCGCCATATATGATGTTGATAAAATCAAGTCGGCCGCAGAGAAGCGAATTTTTCAAGAGCAAATCGGCTAAAAGAAACCAACCATTTCCGAAGTCACCAGCGGAAATGCCTCCATCAAAGGACCTTTTCGTTCGTTCGAACACAAGCACGCAAAAAATGAATATATATACCCGCCAAAAATTGCCACAAGGCGTCGGAAGCGGAGAAGATAAGGCTTCTTTTCACCAGCAGCGGGGCTCAAAAAAATGCAGAAAAATAAACACGATTTGCTTTTCGTAGATATCAAAGACCGAAAAACAATAACCCCTCTGCAGGTCTGCCAGAAAGTCGCGATATCCCGGCAGAATGCATTTGTTTCGTGAAACCCAGTAGGAATAATGAAAGTGGGTTTCTTTCGAGTGGGAAGTTGTCGGCAAAGACGCGTGTGCGTAATCCCGTAGAACCGCGGTCATGACATGTCAAAGAAAAGTTTCCCTTCTTCCGCCTTTCTCGTATCAATGCCGAAAATCTCTGCCCGAAACTTTTTTTTTTCCCCCAGCAGAGAACCAGTGAGAAAAAATGAATGCAAAGTCCTATCAAAAAAAAAGGAACCACCTGCTGCTGCTCTTGAAAGGGGAATGAGAGCTAGCAACTGCAAATTTTACAGCTGAAAAACAAAAACGAGTGACTTGTTTCTTTATCTCGAGTTCTCGCGTCGAATTCCGTGTTCAATCGAGAAACAGAAAAGAAAAATTTGCAAAGGAAAGATGAAAACGTAATACAGTACTTTTTTTAATTTCCTTCTTGGCAATCAGCTAAGTACAGGCTCCCATTCCTGTAATTCCATATTCCTGAAGTACTTGTTCAAGTTGTTTGTTGAAAAGCAATGCGGAAAAAATTTTCAAATTTTAGGTAATTTTTTTCATAATGTCATTCATCAACTTTTTTTTAACCTAATATCAGATTCCAATTTTTTTCTTTAAAAAACTGAGCTGATTGGATGCATATCATTTTTTCTCAGAAAACAATATATTTTTCACCAGTCGTCGTTTCAACCACACAACTTCGCATAGTTTCGGTGAAAACACTTGAATAAAAAACATAATATTTAAAATTATCTTAAAACGCAAATTCAAATGGGAATTATGTTTTCAAATTTAACTGTGGCGCAATAGAAATGCCAATCAATGGAAAATCCAAAAAACCGGAAAGAAAAAGGTGACGGGGTCGTCAAACATTTACTTTAAATTTGAAAAATGAATGAAATATTGCGGCAGAGAGATTATTTCAAGCTTGATGTATTGTTTTATTGTTTTACCAGTCGCTATTGTAAGACTGCAGTTCGGACTTGTTTTTTCTTCTCTCATTCTGAAAAGCTAATGTGAAAGAATGGCAAAGAAACCAGCTCGCAAATTGTTTAGAGCCATGAAATTTCCGCTTTCTCGCGACGATCCACTTCGTTATACAAAGTGTTCGTCAAAGAAACTCCAATTTTCGAAGAATGGGGTAGCTTTTCATTCCCCTGATTATCCTTTTATCGTCGACGATTGACAAATGAATGCATCCCCTTTTTGTTTGTTGCTGGAAATGAAAGGAAGGCGTGTTCTTCTTTTTTTTTTTTGCATTCCACAGAATCTAAATGACCGATGTTTTGCAACTGGGCGTGTTTCATCGGGTCTCGCTGCTAAAACATCGGGCGTCGACACTCTTTTGGTCCCGCTTTTGTGCGAATTTGAGTGTGGACTGATGAAAAAGCACTTTGCAATATATTTCCATCATCCGCAAAGCAAAAAAAAATTCCTGCGGGTTGAATAATTCAGCATCGCATTATGCCATTAAATCCGATTGTTATCAACTGAAAGTCTGAGAACCTCGACAGCTTGCATTTCCCAAATTTGCAAGAACTCTTTTTCGAGGCAAAAAATGAGCTAACATATTTGAAAGCTAAAGCGGAACACCTTTGAAAATTCCTGTGCTGAAAGCAGGATAGAAAATATTTCCCGCCAAGCGAAACATTCTTCAAGGTTTATTCTAGCTCAATTTTTTTTTTCGGCTTCTTCGGAAAATTTCTGTCAACGTAATTTAGCAATTTTTTTCCATAAGATGTAGATTTTCTCTGCTGTGAAGTTCTCGAATTTGACACTGTATTTTTCACAACTGTTGAATTCGGTATGCGAGATGAACTTGAAGAATTATATCTAATCCAAAACGAACATCAAAATGCTACTTGACTTTAAAATTTGAAGATCAGTAAAATCAGCTCGTTACAAAAGTACTCATGAGCAGTGAAATAGCTTCGTTAGAACGAACCATTTGCAGTAAAAATTCCACACAAAAAAAAAACATCGCGGCTTTTGGGGAGGAACCAAAAGTATAAGCGAAATTCTTCCGATCGATTATTCGTCGTAACGACTTGCTACTGTACATCATCGACGCAAAACCTGCGACTTCAAATCAAAAATTATTTTTGATCGTGGGGTTATTGAGTCCGCATTACAGTAATAACTTTCCGGAAGTAGCTCATGTCCGTGATGAATCAATTATATTTCTCGTGCTTTTTTTATTTTTTCAACTTTGTTCCCCCGAATCAAGGAATGAACGCTCCCAAAAATTGACCTAGTGCAGCGCCATCATTCCGCAAAAAATGTCTCATAGCTCTCTCTCTCTCTCTCTCTCTCTCTCTCTCTCTCTCTCTCTCTCTCTCTCTCTCTCTCTCTCTCTCTCTCTC